ACACTGTCCCAAGTCTAGAGGAACACCATCTTCAGCACAGCAACTCGAGGAATGCTCCGTGTACCCCAAATCGTCTGGAGATGAGAGCTGATTAACTGGCTTAGGCTCAAGACGTATGCCAACTTTCCAGAAGCACCTCAAGGGGAGGCTTCTCTCAGCAATAGGTATGTTGGAGGGACCCCCAGTTTGCTGCCTCAAGTGGAATATGCAACGAGAAGCCCTAACTTGAAAGGAGGCCGGGTTTCCTTGCAGTGTCTTGAATACAGGCTCGTCTTTCATCTCACAACCGGAAGGATTGTCTGAATCCCCTGTGGAGACCTTAGCGAAAGCCCTAGGTCCCTGCCTCATTTTGACGGATTGCCTCACATCCCGTTGACACCTCGGGAGGCACACGGAGTTCACTGCTTCAAATGTGACGATGCCTGACCCCTCCTGATCATTGATAGGAATCCCAAAATCACTGTGGCTACAGGAAAGGGTTCTTGTGTGCCCTGCCTCACCTCGAGAAGCATCCCTTTTGCCCTGCCAAGGCTCGAAGAGATTCCTGAGGTGTCCCTCATTACTAGACAGGAGTCATGACGTCACTGAATAAACACGTGTTTTCAAGGGCCATGCCCGCCATAACTCGAGAACATACCCCAGGTCCCGCCGCAACTCGAGAAAAACCATGAGACTTCCCCTAGATGCGAGATGAGGCCTGATTCCCTGCAGTCCATGCAGAGCATTCCCGTGATCCCAATCAAGCAAGTCAGCAGCTTCGAATTTCTTAATGGATCTCGAGATTGTCCCCAGGAACACTGTCACAAGTCTAGACAGACCCTGACATCACCCCAGCAACGCAAAGCAGCACCAAGTACCCCATATCAACTCGCGTTGAGGCCCGATTCCCATGCATTGACTCCAGAGCCATCCCCCGTACCCCATTAAACACCACCAGTGGCTTGACTTCCTTCAGGCAAATCCAGAGATGCCCCGAGAACACTGTCCCAAGTCTAGAGGAATACGAACTTCAGCACAGCAACTCGAGGAATGCTCCGTGTACCCCAAATCGTTTCGAGGTGAGAGCTGATTCCATGGCTTAGGCTCAAGACGTATGCCAACTTTCCAGAAGCCCCTCAAGAGGAGGATTCTCTCAGCAATAGGTATGTTGGAGGGACCCCCACTTTGCTGCCTCAAGTGGAATATACAGCGAGAAGCCCTAACTTGAAAGGAGGCCGGATTTCCTTGCAGTGTCTTGAATACAGGCTCGTCTTTCATCTCACAACCGGAAGGGATGTCTGAATCCCCTGTGGAGAACTTAGAGAAAGCCCTAGGTCCCTGCCTCATTTTGACGGTTTGCCTCACATCCCGTTGACAACTCGAGAGGCACGCGGAGTTCACTGCTTCAAAAGGTGATGATGCCTGACTCGTCTTGAATATTGATAGGAATCCCAAAATCCCTGTGGCTATTTGAAAGGTTCCTTGGGTGTCCTGCCTCACCTCGAGAAGCGTCCCTTGTGCCTGCCAAGCCTCGAAGAGATTCCTGAGCTGTCCCTCGTTACTGGACAGGAGTCCTGACGTCACTGAATAAACAGGAGTTTTTAAGGGCCATCCCCGCTCTAACCCGAGTACATACCCCAGGTCCCCGCCGCAAGTCGAGAAAAACCATGAGAATTTCCCCTAGTGGCGAGATGTGGCCCGATTCTCATGCAGTGCATGCAGAGCAATTCCGTGATCCCCATCAAACAAGTCAGGACCTTCGACTTGCTTAATGGATCTCGAGACAGTCCCCAAGAATACTGTCACATGTCTAGACGCATCCTGAGGTCACCCCATCAACGCAAAGCAGCACCATGTGACCCACATCAACTCGAGATAATGCCCGATTCCCCTGCATTGACTCCAGAGCCATCCCCCGTTCCACATTAAACACCACCAGTGGCTTGACTTCCTTCAGACAACTCCAGAGATGCCCTGAGAACACTGTCCCAAGTCTAGAGGAACACCATCTTCAGCACAGCAACTCGAGGAATGCTCCGTGTACCCCAAATCGTCTGGAGATGAGAGCTGATTAACTGGCTTAGGCTCAAGACGTATGCCAACTTTCCAGAAGCACCTCAAGGGGAGGCTTCTCTCAGCAATAGGTATGTTGGAGGGACCCCCAGTTTGCTGCCTCAAGTGGAATATGCAACGAGAAGCCCTAACTTGAAAGGAGGCCGGGTTTCCTTGCAGTGTCTTGAATACAGGCTCGTCTTTCATCTCACAACCGGAAGGATTGTCTGAATCCCCTGTGGAGACCTTAGCGAAAGCCCTAGGTCCCTGCCTCATTTTGACGGATTGCCTCACATCCCGTTGACACCTCGGGAGGCACACGGAGTTCACTGCTTCAAATGTGACGATGCCTTACCCCTCCTGATCATTGATAGGAATCCCAAAATCACTGTGGCTACAGGAAAGGGTTCTTGTGTGCCCTGCCTCACCTCGAGAAGCATCCCTTTTGCCCTGCCAAGGCTCGAAGAGATTCCTGAGGTGTCCCTCATTACTAGACAGGAGTCATGACGTCACTGAATAAACACGTGTTTTCAAGGGCCATGCCCGCCATAACTCGAGAACATACCCCAGGTCCCGCCGCAACTCGAGAAAAACCATGAGACTTCCCCTAGATGCGAGATGAGGCCTGATTCCCTGCAGTCCATGCAGAGCATTCCCGTGATCCCAATCAAGCAAGTCAGCAGCTTCGAATTTCTTAATGGATCTCGAGATTGTCCCCAGGAACACTGTCACAAGTCTAGACAGACCCTGACATCACCCCAGCAACGCAAAGCAGCACCAAGTACCCCATATCAACTCGCGTTGAGGCCCGATTCCCATGCATTGACTCCAGAGCCATCCCCCGTACCCCATTAAACACCACCAGTGGCTTGACTTCCTTCAGGCAAATCCAGAGATGCCCCGAGAACACTGTCCCAAGTCTAGAGGAATACGAACTTCAGCACAGCAACTCGAGGAATGCTCCGTGTACCCCAAATCGTTTCGAGGTGAGAGCTGATTCCATGGCTTAGGCTCAAGACGTATGCCAACTTTCCAGAAGCCCCTCAAGAGGAGGATTCTCTCAGCAATAGGTATGTTGGAGGGACCCCCACTTTGCTGCCTCAAGTGGAATATACAGCGAGAAGCCCTAACTTGAAAGGAGGCCGGATTTCCTTGCAGTGTCTTGAATACAGGCTCGTCTTTCATCTCACAACCGGAAGGGATGTCTGAATCCCCTGTGGAGAACTTAGAGAAAGCCCTAGGTCCCTGCCTCATTTTGACGGATTGCCTCACATCCCGTTGACAACTCGAGAGGCACGCGGAGTTCACTGCTTCAAAAGGTGATGATGCCTGACTCGTCTTGAATATTGATAGGAATCCCAAAATCCCTGTGGCTATTTGAAAGGTTCCTTGGGTGTCCTGCCTCACCTCGAGAAGCGTCCCTTGTGCCTGCCAAGCCTCGAAGAGATTCCTGAGCTGTCCCTCGTTACTGGACAGGAGTCCTGACGTCACTGAATAAACAGGAGTTTTTAAGGGCCATCCCCGCTCTAACCCGAGTACATACCCCAGGTCCCCGCCGCAAGTCGAGAAAAACCATGAGAATTTCCCCTAGTGGCGAGATGTGGCCCGATTCTCATGCAGTGCATGCAGAGCAATTCTGTGATCCCCATCAAACAAGTCAGGACCTTCGACTTGCTTAATGGATCTCGAGACAGTCCCCAAGAATACTGTCACATGTCTAGACGGATCCTGAGGTCACCCCATCAACGCAAAGCAGCACCATGTGACCCACATCAACTCGAGATAATGCCCGATTCCCCTGCATTGACTCCAGAGCCATCCCCCGTTCCACATTAAACACCACCAGTGGCTTGACTTCCTTCAGACAACTCCAGAGATGCCCTGAGAACACTGTCCCAAGTCTAGAGGAACACCATCTTCAGCACAGCAACTCGAGGAATGCTCCGTGTACCCCAAATCGTCTGGAGATGAGAGCTGATTAACTGGCTTAGGCTCAAGACGTATGCCAACTTTCCAGAAGCACCTCAAGGGGAGGCTTCTCTCAGCAATAGGTATGTTGGAGGGACCCCCAGTTTGCTGCCTCAAGTGGAATATGCAGCGAGAAGCCCTAACTTGAAAGGAGGCCGGGTTTCCTTGCAGTGTCTTGAATACAGGCTCGTCTTTCATCTCACAACGGGAAGGAATGTCTGAATCCCCTGTGGAGACCTTAGCGAAAGCCCTAGGTCCCTGCCTCATTTTGACGGATTGCCTCACATCCCGTTGACACCTCGAGAGGCACCCGGAGTTCACTGCTTCAAATGTGACGATGCCTGACTCCTCCTGAACATTGATAGGAATCCCAAAATCACTGTGGCTACAGGAAAGGGTTCTTGTGTGCCCTGCCTCACCTCGAGAAGCATCCCTTTTGCCCTGCCAAGGCTCGAAAAGATTCCTGAGGTGTCCCTCATTACTAGACAGGAGTCATGACGTCACTGAATAAACACGTGTTTTCAAGGGCCATGCCCGCCATAACTCGAGAACATACCCCACGTACCGCCGCGACTCGAGAAAAACCATGAGACTTCCCCTAGATGCGATATGAGGCCTGATTCCCTGCAGTCCATGCAGAGCATTCCCGTGATCCCAATCAAGCAAGTCAGCAGCTTCGAATTGCTTAATGGTTCTCGAGACAGTCCCCAGGAACACTGTCACAAGTCTAGACAGACCCTGACATCACCCCAGCAAAGCAAAGCAGGTCCAAGTACCCCACATCACCTCGAGTTGAGGCCCGATTCCCATGCATTGACTCCAGAGCCATCCCCCGTTCCACATTAAACACGACCAGTAGCTTGACTTCCTTCAGGCAACTCCAGAGACGCCCTGAGAACACTGTCCCAAGTCTAGAGAAACACCATCTTCAGCACAGCAACTCGAGGAATGCTCCGTGTACCCCAAATCGTCTCGAGATGAGAGCTGATTCCCTGGCTTAGGCTGAAGACGTATGCCAACTTTCCAGAAGCACCTCAAGGGGAGACTTCTCTCAGCAATAGGTATGTTGGAGGGACCCCCAGTTTGCTGCCTCAAGAGGAATATACAGCGAAAAGCCCTAACTTGAAAGGAGGCCGGATTTCCTTGCAGTGTCTTGAATACAGGCTCGTCTTTCATCTCACAACCGGAAGGAATGTCTGAATCCTCTGTGGAGACCTTAGAGAAAGCCCTAGGTCCCTGCCTCATTTTGAAGGAATGTCTCACATCCCGTTGACACCTCGAAAGGCACACGGAGTTCAATGCTTCAAAATGTGATGATGCCTGACTCCTCTTGAACATTGATAGGAATCCCTAAATCACTGTAGCTACAGGACAGGGTTCTTGGGTGCCCTGCCTCACCTCGAGAAGCATCCCTTTTGCCTGCCAAGCCTCGAAGAGATTCCTGAGGTGTCTCTCGTTACTAGACAGGAGTCCTGACGTCACTGAATAAACACATGTTTTGAAGGGCCATCCCCGCCATAACTCAAGAACATACCCCAGGTCCCGCCGCAACTCGAGAAAAACCATGAGACATCCCCTAGATGCGATATGAGGCCTGATTCCCTGCAGTCCATGCAGAGCATTCCCATGATCCCCATCAAGCAAGTCAGGAGCTTCGACTTCCTTAATCGAACTCGAGAAAGTCCCCAGGAACACTGTCACAAGACTAGACAGACCCTGAGGTCACCCCAGCAATGTAAAGCAGCTCCAAGAACCCCACATCAACTCGCGATGAGGCCCGATTCCCCTGCATTGACTCCAGAGCCATCCCCCGTACCACATTAAACACCACCAGTGGCTTGACTTCCTTCAGGCAACTCCAGAGATGCCCTGAGAACACTGTCCCAAGTCTAGAGGAATACGAACTTCAGCACAGCAACTCGAGGAATGCTCCGTGTACCCCAAATCGTTTCGAGGTGAGAGCTGATTCCATGGCTTAGGCTCAAGACGTATGCCAACTTTCCAGAAGCACCTCAAGGGGAGGCTTCTCTCAGCAATAGGTATGTTGGAGGGACCCCCAGTTTGCTGCCTCAAGTGGAATATGCAGCGAGAAGCCCTAACTTGAAAGGAGGCCGGGTTTCCTTGCAGTGTCTTGAATACAGGCTCGTCTTTCATCTCACAACCGGAAGGGATGTCTGAATCCCCTGTGTAGAACTTAGAGAAAGCCCTAGGTCCCTGCCTCATTTTGACGGATTGCCTCACATCCCGTTGACACCTCGAAAGGCACGCGGAGTTCACTGCTTCAAAAGGTGATGATGCCTGACTCCTCCTGAACATTGATAGGAATCCCAAAATCACTGTGGCTACAGGAAAGGGTTCTTGTGTGCCCTGCCTCACCTCGAGAAGCATCCCTTTTGCCCTGCCAAGGCTCGAAAAGATTCCTGAGGTGTCCCTCATTACTAGACAGGAGTCATGACGTCACTGAATAAACACGTGTTTTCAAAGGCCAAGCCCGCCATAACTCGAGAACATAAACCACGTACCGCCGCGACTCGAGAAAAACCATGAGACTTCCCCTAGATGCGATATGAGGCCTGATTCCCTGCAGTCCATGCAGAGCATTCCCGTGATCCCAATCAAGCAAGTCAGCAGCTTCGAATTGCTTAATGGATCTCGAGAGAGTCCCCAGGAACACTGTCACAAGTCTAGATAGACCCTGACATCACCCCAGCAAAGGAAAGCAGGTCCAAGTACCCCACATCACCTCGAGTTGAGGCCCGATTCCCATGCATTGACTCCAGAGCCATCCCCCGTACCCCATTAAACACCACCAGTGGCTTGACTTCCTTCAGGCAACTCCAGAGATGCCCCGAGAACACTGTCCCAAGTCTAGAGGAATAGGAACTTCAGCACAGCAACTCGAGGAATGCTCGGTGTACCCCAAATCGTTTCGAGGTGAGAGCTGATTCCATGGCTTAGGCTCAAGACGTATGCCAACTTTCCAGAAGCACCTCAAGCGGAGGATTCTCTCAGCAATAGATATGTTGGAGGGACCCCCACTTTGCTGCCTCAAGTGGAATATACAGCAAGAAGCCCTAACTTGAAAGGAGGCCGGATTTCCTTCAAGTGTCTTGAATACAGGCTCGTCTTTCATCTCACAACCGGAAGGGATGTCTGAATCCCCTGTGTAGAACTTAGAGAAAGCCCTAGGTCCCTGCCTCATTTTGACGGATTGCCTCACATCCCGTTGACACCTCGAAAGGCACGCGGAGTTCACTGCTTCAAAAGGTGATGATGCCTGACTCGTCTTGAATATTGATAGGAATCCCAAAATCCCTGTGGCTATTTGAAAGGTTCCTTGGGTGTCCTGTCTCACCTCGAGAAGCGTCCCTTGTGCCTGCCAAGCCTCGAAGAGATTCCTGAGCTGTCCCTCGTTACTGGACAGGAGTCCTGACGTCACTGAATAAACAGGAGTTTTTAAGGGCCATCCCCGCTGTAAACCGAGTACATACCCCAGGTCCCCAGCGCAAGTCGAGAAAAACCATGAGACTTTCCCCTAGTGGCGAGATGAGGCCCGATTCTCCTGCAGTGCATGCAGAGCAATTCCGTGATCCCCATCAAACAAGTCAGGACCTTCGACTTGCTTAATGGATCTCGAGACAGTCCCCAAGAATACGGTCACATGTCTAGACGGATCCTGAGGTCACCCAATCAACGCAAAGCAGTACCATGTGCCCCACATCAACTCGAGATAATGCCCGATTCCCCTGCATTGACTCCAGAGCCATCCCCCGTTCCACATTAAACACCACCAGTGGCTTGACTTCCTTCAGACAACTCCAGAGATGCCCTGAGAACACTGTCCCAAGTCTAGAGGAACACCATCTTCAGCACAGCAACTCGAGGAATGCTCCGTGTACCCCAAATCGTCTCGAGATGAGAGCTGATTCCCTGGCTTAGGCTCAAGACGTATGCCAACTTTCCAGAAGCACCTCAAGGGGAGGCTTCTCTCAGCAATAGGTATGTTGGAGGGACCCCCAGTTTTCTGCCTCAAGTGGAATATGCAGCGAGAAGCCCTAACTTGAAAGGAGGCCGGGTTTCCTTGCAGTGTATTGAATACAGGCTCGTCTTTCATCTCACAACGGGAAGGAATGTCTGAATGCCCTGTGGAGACCTTAGCGAAAGCCCTAGGTCCCTGCCTCATTTTGACGGATTGCCTCACATCCCGTTGACACCTCGAGAGGCACCCGGAGTTCACTGCTTCAAATGTGATGATGCCTGACTCCTCCTGAACATTGATAGGAATCCCAAAATCACTGTGGCTACTGGAAAGGGTTCTTGTGTGCCCTGCCTCACCTCGAGAAGCATCCCTTTTGCCCTGCCAAGGCTCGAAAAGATTCCTGAGGTGTCCCTCATTACTAGACAGGAGTCCTGACGTCACTGAATAAACACGTGTTTTCAAGGGCCAAGCCCGCCATAACTCGAGAACATACCCCACGTACCGCCGCGACTCGAGAAAAACCATGAGACTTCCCCTAGATGCGATATGAGGCATGATTCCCTGCAGTCCATGCAGAGCATTCCCGTGATCCGAATCAAGCAAGTCAGCAGCTTCGAATTGCTTAATGGATCTCGAGAGAGTCCCCAGGAACACTGTCACAAGTCTAGACAGACCCTGACATCACCCCAGCAAAGCAAAGCAGGTCCAAGTACCCCACATCACCTCGAGTTGAGGCCCGATTCCCATGCATTGACTCCAGAGCCATCCCCCGTACCCCATTAAACACCACCAGTGGCTTGACTTCCTTCAGGCAACTCGAGAGATGCCCCGAGAACACTGTCCCAAGTCTAGAGGAATACGAACTTCAGCACAGCAACTCGAGGAATGCTCGGTGTACCCCAAATCGTTTCGAGGTGAGAGCTGATTCCATGGCTTAGGCTCAAGACGTATGCCAACTTTCCAGAAGCACCTCAAGCGGAGGATTCTCTCAGCAATAGGTATGTTGGAGGGACCCCCACTTTGCTGCCTCAAGTGGAATATACAGCGAGAAGCCCTAACTTGAAAGGAGGCCGGATTTCCTTGCAGTGTCTTGAATACAGGCTCGTCTTTCATCTCACAACGGGAAGGAATGTCTGAATCCCCTGTGGAGAACTTAGAGAAAGCCCTAGGTCCCTGCCTCATTTTGACGGTTTGCCTCACATCCCGTTGACAACTCGAGAGGCACGCGGAGTTCACTGCTTCAAAAGGTGATGATGCCTGACTCGTCTTGAATATTGATAGGAATCCCAAAATCCCTGTGGCTATTTGAAAGTTTCCTTGGGTGTCCTGCCTCACCTCGAGAAGCGTCCCTTGTGCCTGCCAAGCCTCGAAGAGATTCCTGAGCTGTCCCTCGTTACTGGACAGGAGTCCTGACGTCACTGAATAAACAGGAGTTTTTAAGGGCCATCCCCGCTGTAACCCGAGTACATACCCCAGGTCCCCGCCGCAAGTCGAGAAAAACCATGAGACTTTCCCCTAGTGGCGAGATGAGGCCCGATTCTCATGCAGTGCATGCAGAGCAATTCTGAGATCCCCATCAAACAAGTCAGGACCTTCGACTTGCTTAATGGATCTCGAGACAGTCCCCAAGAATACTGTCACATGTCTAGACGGATCCTGAGGTCACCCCATCAACGCAAAGCAGCACCATGTGCCCCACATCAACTCGAGATCATGCCCGATTCCCCTGCATTGACTCCAGAGCCATCCCCCGTTCCACATTAAACACCACCAGTGGCTTGACTTCCTTCAGACAACTCCAGAGATGCCCTAGGAACACTGTCCCAAGTCTAGAGGAACACCATCTTCAGCACAGCAACTCGAGGAATGCTCCGTGTACCCCAAATCGTCTCGAGATGAGAGCTGATTCCCTGGCTTAGGCTCAAGACGTATGCCAACTTTCCAGAAGCACCTCAAGGGGAGGCTTCTCTCAGCAATGGTTATGTTGGAGGGACCCCCAGTTTGCTGCCTCAAGTGGAATATGCAGCGAGAAGCCCTAACTTGAAAGGAGTCCGGGTTTCCTTGCAGTGTCTTGAATACAGGCTCGTCTTTCATCTCACAACGGGAAGGAATGTCTGAATCCCCTGTGGAGACCTTAGCGAAAGCCCTAGGTCCCTGCCTCATTTTGACGGATTGCCTCACATCCCGTTGATACCTCGAGAGGCACCCGGAGTTCACTGCTTCAAATGTGACGATGCCTGACTCCTCCTGAACATTGATAGGAATCCCAGAATCACTGTGGCTACAGGAAAGGGTTCTTGTGTGCCCTGCATCACCTCGAGAAGCATCCCTTTTGCCCTGCCAAGGCTCAAAAAGATTCCTGAGGTGTCCCTCATTACTAGACAGGAGTCAAGACGTCACTGAATAAACACGTGTTTTCAAGGGCCATCCCCGCTGTAACCCGAGTACATACCCCAGGTCCCCGCCGCAAGTCGAGAAAAACCATGAGACTTTCCCCTAGTGGCGATATGAGTCCCGATTCTCCTGCAGTGCATGCAGAGCAATTCCGTGATCCCCATCAAACAAGTCAGTACCTTCGAATTGCTTAATGGATCTCGAGACAGTCCCCAAGAATACTGTCAAATGTCTAGACGGATCCTGAGGTCACCCCATCAACGCAAAGCAGGTCCAGGTACCCCACATCACCTCGAGTTGAGGCCCGATTCCCATGCATTGACTCCAGAGCCATCCCCCGTACCCCATTAAACACCACCAGTGGCTTGACTTCCTTCAGGCAACTCCAGAGATGCCCCGAGAACACTGTCCCAAGTCTAGAGGAATACGAACTTCAGCACAGCAACTCGAGGAATGCTCCGTGTACCCCAAATCGTTTCGAGGTGAGAGCTGATTCCATGGCTTAGGCTCAAGACGTATGCCAACTTTCCAGAAGCACCTCAAGAGGAGGCTTCTCTCAGCAATAGGTATGTTCGTGGGACCCCGAGTTTGCTGCCTAAAGTGGAATATACAGCGAGAAGCCCTAACTTGAATGGAGGCCGGATTTCCTTGCAGTGTCTTGTATACAGGCTCGTCTTTCATCTCACAACAGGAAGGGATGTCTGAATCCCCTGTGAAGACATTTGAGAAAGCCCTAGGTCCCTGACTCATTGTGACGGAATGCCTCACATCCCGTTGACACCACGAGAGGCACGCGGAGTTCACTGCTTCAAAAGGTGACGATGCCTGACTCCTCTTGAATATTGATAGGAATCCCAAAATCCCTGTGGCTATTGGAAAGGTTCCTTGGGTGCCCTGCCTCATCTCGAGAAGCGTCCCTTGTGCCCCGGCAAGCCTCGAAGAGATTCCTGAGCTGTCCCTCGTTACTGGACAGGAGTCCTGACGTCACTGAATAAACACGTGTTTTGAAGGGCCATCGCCGCCGTAACTCGAGTATATACCCCAGGTCCCCGCCGCAACTCGAGAAAAACCATGAGACTTCCGCCTAGAGGCGAGATGAGGCCCGATTCTCCTGCAGTGCATGCAGAGCAATTCCGTGATCCCCATCAAACAAGTCAGGAGCTTCGACTTGCTTAATGGATCTCGAGACATTCCCCAAGAACACTGTCACATGTCTAGACGGACCCTGAGGTATCTCCAGCAACGCAAAGCAGCTCCATGTGCCCCAAATCAACTTGAGATGAGGTCCGATTCCCCTGAATTGACTCCAGAGCCATCTGCCGTTCCGCATTAAACAACACCAGTGGCTTGACCTCCTTCAGACAACTCCAGAGATGCCCTGAGAACACTGTCCCAAGTCTAGAGGAACACCTACTTTAGCACAGCAACTCGAGGAATGCTTCCTGTATGCCAAATCTTCTCGAGTTGAGAGCTGATTCCCTGGCTTAGGCTCAAGACGTATGCCAACTTTCCAGAAGCACCTCAAGAGGAGGCTTCTCTCAGCAATAGGTATGTGGGAGGGAACCCGAGTTTGCTGCCTCAAATGGAATATACAGCGAGAAGCACTAACTAGAATGGAGGCCGGTTTCCTAGCAGTGTCTTGAATACAGGCTCGTCTTTCATCTCACAGCAGGAAGAGATGTCTGAATCCCCTGTGGAGACCTTAGAGAAAGCCCTAGGTCCCTGCCTCATTTTGACGGAATGCCTCACATCCCGTTGACACCTCGAGAGTCACGCGGAGTTCACTGCTTCAAAAGCTGACGATGCCTGACTCCTCCTGAACATTGATAGGAATCCCAAAATCACTGTAGCTACAGGACAGGGTTCTTGGGTGCCCTGCCTCACCTCGAGAAGCATCCCTTTTGCCCTGCCAAGCCTCGAAGAGATTCCTGAGCTGTCCCTCGTTACTGGACAGGAGTCCTGACGTCACTGAATAAACACGAGTTTTTAAGGGCCATCCCCGCCGTAACCCGAGTACATACCCCAGGTCCCCGCCGCAAGTCAAGAAAAACCATGAGACTTTCCCCTAGTGGCGAGATGAGGCCCGATTCTCCTGCAGTGCATGCAGAGCAATTCCATGATCCCCATCAAACAAGTCAGGACCTTCGACTTGCTTAATGGATCTCGAGACAGTCCCCAAGAATACTATCACATGTCTAGTTGGATACTGAGGTCACCCCATCAACGCAAAGCAGCACCATGTGCCCCACATCAATTCGAGATAATGCCCGATTCCCCTGCATTGACTCCAGAGCCATCCCCCGTTCCAGATTAAACAACACCAGTGGCTTGACTTCCTTCAGACAACTCCAGAGATGCCCTGAGAACACTGTCCCAAGTCTAGAGGAACACCATCTTCAGCACAGCAACTCGAGGAATGCTCCGTGTACCCCAAATCGTCTCGAGATGAGAGCTGATTCCCTGGCTTATGCTCAAGACGTATGCCAACTTTCCAGAAGCACCTCAAGGGGAGGCTTCGCTCAGCAATAGTTATGTTGGAGGGACCCCCAGTTTGCTGCCTCAAGTGGAATATGCAACGAGAAGCCCTAACTTGAAAGGAGGCCGGGTTTCCTTGCAGTGTCTTGAA